TTCTACTGAAGTGATGAGATACTTCTGATATGATATGACTGCAAACTCGATGCCTTCGTCCACTGCAAATAATCTTTTTTTCTGTATAATCTTACAAGGGAAGCTTTTCGCTTCTCGGTAATGAACATCATGAATGACAAAACTATTGATGCGATTTGTTTGAATCAGTTTTGAAATATGTCTGCAATTTTGCCACACTAATGACTTCGCGACGAGTAAATATTAAGCGAATGTCCAAAAATGGATATGATACCTGTTCAGGGATTAATTTGAGCTGTAAATGAGGATGAGCTAATAAACCTGATAATCTTGCTCAACTAGCAAATTGTGGCATTAACCATTAAATGTAGTCACTAATGTGCAGTTAGCATTTGAAATCACTGATTCATAAATAATTCACATTTTTGTAGTGCTAAAAATAATTCACTGAATACAAATATTCAGTGCCATTCTTCTATGATCGTAACCCATTCAATCGTCCCTTACATTTGACGATTCTGCTGGGAAGAATTTAATCTGAACCCTTAGAGTCATTCGTATTTGTGGATTTTAATGCGCACTGATAGTGGTTGCAAATTTCATATTGCTGTCATGAAAAAATATTGCGTTCTGTCTTTGTCGCCTCCCAGGTTTCATTCCTTAGTGCAGATGACTAAGGGAAAATAATGAGGAATCATAGCATGCTCTGTTGTTTGCATTCGTTTATACTTGAGTTTCGGTGAAACTGATTTGTATCATATCATTAGTTATTGTTATTAGAATTGAATAGCTGTTCAAATTGAATTATTTTATTCTGAATTGCTAATGAGCAATATAGGAAATCAATTAGTATTGATAAAGTAGAAATACTGACTCCTTTCTTCATCACACTCGTAATTCAGTCTATAGGGAATTAAGAAAATTAAGTTCTAATCGTAATTCCCAAATGATTTCAGTTCACTTTGCAGCAGAATATTTTCGACAAAACAGTTTTAATAAGATTTCATTGAAGCAATCCAATTGTATCGATATATGAGTTGAATAAATAAGATTATAGTAAGCGTATTTGATGACATCTAATTTGATGATGATGATGATACGATTGAATTTAATTAAACTGTTATCTGTTCATCACCGCCAATTCAATTCATCTTTTCATTAAGGATTCTTACTCTCAACTCTCTGATTCGCTTTATCTGTGGATAGATCAGGTCTTTAGAATATACGGGATAATTTATTTATGAGGAAAGGTGACCACTGTGTAGACTGAATAAATATGAGTGTATTAATGATAGTTTCCTTGCAGAAGTTTGAGAAAGTAAGAATACGAAGAGTAGGGTCCGTAAATTTTTTAGTCTTGTTGTTAGCGACAGATTTTCGGAGCGATTCCAGCAATCCTGTTGAAACTTTACAAGGAAGCATTATGTGAGGAAAACTATTTTGT